GTGCAGCTCAGAATCACGTTGGTCTTTTTCGCTGCTGCATCACACTGCGGGCTCATCCTCAGTCTTAACTTTCTAAGACTCCTTGGTCCCTTTCAGTTGGGCTGTTATCAATCCAGGTCTCCCCCATCCTGTATTGCATTTTTCCTGCCAAAGTGTTAGACCGTACATTTTTCCTTGTTTACGTTCGTTGTTTTCTTCTTGGCCAACCAGCTCTCTAACCCAGGGGTTCTTGAACTTTTTTAGATGTTGAGCCTTTTTCGAAGCAAATAATAATAATAATAATAATAATAATAATAATAATAATAATAATTTTGCACCACACCTCAATCTCCCCGAAGGGACTCGGAGCGGCTTACATATGACACAAAGCCCTAAAACAATGCATAAAGTGAACACACCATACAATACAAAACGTAAAACCAATAACATATAAAACAACAATTTAAAACTCAGAACAACGCCCAATAACCTGTGGTGACAGCTGCCATAAAACATGGCCAAATGTAAACAGACAAGGGAAAGGGATCGTGCAAATTGTAGCTAAGGAACAAGGGCATGGGATGAAAGTGCCGGGCTGTGTCGTAACTGTTGACCATTGCAACTGGACCTTCTCAAGGCTGAGAGGAGACATGATAGCCATGTATAAATATGTAAGAGGAAGCCACAGGGGGGAGGAGGGAGCAAGCTTCCTTTCTGCTTCCCTGGAGAGAGACTAGGACGCAATGGAAGAATGGCTTCAAACTACAAGAGAGAAGATTCCATCTGAACACAAGGAAGAACTTCCTGACTGTGAGAGCCGTTCAGCAGTGGAACTCTCTGCCCCAGGGGGAGTGTGGTGGAGGCTCCTTCTTTGGAGGCGTTTAAACAGAGGCTGGATGGCCATCTGTCAGGGGTGATTTGAATGCAATCTTCCTGCTTCTTGGCAGAATGGGGTTGGACTGGATGATGGCCCAGGAGGTCTCCTCCAACTCTACGATTCTAGGATTCTAGGATTCTATGCTGCTCCTGTTTCCAGCAGATCAAACCTTTAATTTCTCTGCATTTCTCAGGAGGAGGAGGAGGAGGTGGGAAGCAACCTGGGGGCACGGAGCGCCTTACAATCACACACAGAGCCCCGAGGGCTCCACAGAGCACAGTTTGAGAACCTCTGATCTAACCTGTTCTGGCCCTTTTGGATCCTGATTCTTCCCTCTGCCCGTAGCCAGGATGTTTCGGAGGGGGGGCTGAATTTTTTTCAGGGGGGTTTCGGGGGGGCTGAGTTTGGGGGGGGGGCTGAGTCTGAGTGAAAGAGGGTCTAGCCTAGCAAACCTTTTGTATCATTACCCCAATACCCCCATGCATATGGGATATATTGAGTATGGTGATCAGATCATGATATGAATAAACATAACAGTTTAAATAATGCACCAGTAAGGCCTTTTCGCGAACCACCATCAGAATTTCAGGGGGGGGGGCTGAAGCCCCTCAAGCCCCCCCCCCCCCCCGGCTACATGCCTGCCTCTGGGGCATTTGTTCTCCCACCAATTGGGCCCCACTTGCAAATCTGATAAGCCCCATGTCTAGATGAAGCCTGGAAAAAAAGTATAAGGAAGGTCAAAGGCCGTAATACGCAAAAACTAGTTGTTTAGTAGGCTTGAGATGTCAGCCATACCTTGTTTCCCATGTGAAAGACCGAGCTGAAATGGAGAGGGAAAGAACTGAGGCAACAACCAGGAGCTTTGGCCAAGAGACCCACCAAGATAGATCAAGTCTAGACGAAGTTTATTCCAAGCAACAGTATTTCACCAAACTTCAGGGTTGTGCAAAAAGAACCACAAAGTGCACATCCAGGGCAGGTGTGGTCATCTTTATCTGATCTCTACGTGACTGACCAGCACCAGCATTAATGTGCTTGTTGGTGTGGCTATTTCTCAGGATGTGGCCCCATTGGGAGGCAGGCACCATGACCTCTGACCTTCGGTCCTGGGCACACAGTCTTGCATTTTCAGCATTTTGAGCATGACACAAACGAGAGAGATCAGCAAAGAAAGCAAGGCGTGCGGAGATGCCATCACTGTCAAGAATAGCCGAGTATGTATTTGGGTCATCAGGGATCAATTGGTCCAAATCCGCATCCCAGAGTATCAGAAGAACTTCCTGAAGCCTCCGTCATCGTTTGTGAGGCATCTTGGAGGCTAGCGCAGATTGGAGATGCCCAAAAATAGTTCTTTCCTCCCAAAAAGTCCGGAAGAAGAGATCTAGGGAACGGCAGGAGAGCGAGCCTGACCTCGATACCAGGAATAATATCAGGAGCCCGCCTGCACGGATCTCGGAGGCAGGGACAGGAAAGACGGAATCCTATTTTCAATCAGGTTACTAGTTTAGTAGAGGAGGGCGATGCTGCGGGGGCCATTTCGGCAAAGTGCTTAATGAGCTCCCCCCGTGATGTTGTGATGCAATCCATGTGGGAGAGAGGGGAGCGCAATCAGGTGGATCCCGGATGGGTGGGAGGCCATTCAAGAAGGAAGGAAATAAGGAAGGAAGGCAGGCAGGCAGGCAGGGGGGCGGCTGCGAGTGGGAGGCCTCCAGGGCCATTCCTTCCATGTCGTTAGCAATGGCTCCGGTGGTGGCGCCGGCACACAGGGAATCCTTCACAAGTTTGCAGATGACACAGAGCTCAGGGGGAAGCATGGGTGGCTCTCGCAGAGTGGGAGGCAGGAATCGCTTCCCAAAGAACCCGGATTAACGAGAGAACCCGCCTTCAATTAGTAAAACGAAATGCAGGGCTACGTTTAGGCCACTGTCTCAGAAATAATACAAGCCAAGGGGGCTTCAGGATGACGCAGCTTGGGAGTGATCCTGGACTCATCCCTGAGCCCAGAACCCCAGGTCTCGGTGGTGGCCAGGGGAGCTTTTGCGCAGCTAAATCTTGTGCACCAGCTGTGCCTGTCCCTTGAGATGTCTGATCTGGCTACGGTGGTCCATGCTCTGGTTACATCCTGTATAGACTACTGCAACGCGCTCTACGTGAGGCTGCCTTTGAAGACTGTTCGGAAACTTCACCTAGTCCCAACAGGGTGGCAGCCGGTTGCTCACTGTTATGTCAGCTCCACTGGCTGCTGGTCCACTTCCGAGCTCAATTCAAAGTGCTGGTTTTGACCTATCAAGCCCTATACGGTTCTGGCCCAGCTTACTTGTCCGAACGCATCTCCCTCTACGCCCCACCTCACAGTTTAAGGGGAGTGTGACCCCGTCCAGCACAGGTTGCGACCCTAGACCCTGTTCGGCCTTGCGACTGACCAGGAGGACCTCTGTCTTGTCTGGATTCAACTTCAATGTGCTCGCCCTCATCCAGACCGTCACAGCAGCCAGGCACTGGTTCAGAACTTGAACACCCTCCTTCACATCTGGTGGAAATGAGTGATAGAGTTGGACGTCATCTGCGTACAGATGGCATCAGACTCCAAAACTCTGGATGATCTCACCCAACGGCTTCATGTAGATGTTAAACAACATGGGGGACAAGACTGACCCCTTTGGGACCCCACAGGACAATGGCTGTGGGGCCGAGCAGGAGTCTCCCAGCAACACCTTCTGGGTACGACCTTCCAGGAAGGATTGGAGCCACTGCAGAACAGTCCCTCCAAGACCCATCCCCACAAGGCACCCCAGAAGAATACCGTGGTCTACGGCATCGAAGGCCGCTGAGAGGTCCAGGAGAACCAACAGGGACACACTCCCCCTGTCGAGCTCTCTGCGGAGATCATCCACTAAGTTTTACGGGAGGGACCTTGCCATGGGGAAATAGGCTGTGCCCAGGGGCGGCTCAACCCATTACGCAAAGTAAGCCTTTGCAGTAGAGTTGATTTTGCCCAGGGGTGCTTTGAGGCGCTCTTGGGGGAAAATAGACCTTGACATATGCGAGTTGTAGTTACTAGGATGTATAGTTCACCTACAATCAAAGAGCATTCTGAACTCCACCAATGATGGAATTGAACCAAATATGGCACACAGAACTCCCACGACGACGAACAGAAAATATATATCAGTGATTGGTTGGGGGGGGGGCACCAAAATACTGTTTGCTTACCATTGAAAATTACCTAGGGCCACCTCTGGTTGTGCCACCCCCACCTCCCCCCGCCAGAAACAGTCTGCGAAGGCTGCCAGAGGGTCTTGGGCCCCATCGGTGAGGAGACCAAGGGGAATGTTCTCTGTGTTGGACTTCAACTCCACCCTGCCCAAGTCTCAAGTTCAATGAGGAGCAATTAGTCAGTATAGGCCACGGGTTTCCCTTCCCTGTGTCTCCTGAATGACAGTTGGAAAGGGATCTTCTTCTTCTCTCTTTCTGCTCTCATTGTGATTGGTTGTTTAAAGTGGATCCTTTTCTACTGCAAGCTTTTTGAATCTGACTTCTGCCTTCTTACACTTTAGTTTGGAGAGCATGTGCTGTGTGCTGTGAGATCTCTCTCTGCTTGTGTTGTGTCCGGAGAGATGTCGTGATCTGATGGGTGTTGGAGGAGCTCAGGCCCAGCTCCTGATGACTAAGAAATGCAGTTATTTCTTAGTATGGTCAATAAACCTTTTGTGTTTTTCTTCTGATTGGACTTTACATGGTTGCCTCCTAAGCTCTGGATTCCTTACAGCCACATCACAGGGTGCTCAAAAGACAACCTGGCCAAATGGCACGACCTTCAAGAATCCCACACCTTGTGTGACTGAGGAGCAGAACAGGCAACTCCCTCACTTTGGATGGAGCAGTTGAGGAAGAGAGATTTGGAGACCGGGCAGGTGTTTTGGCACACCTGATAAAGGATGATGGGAGATGTAGTTCAACCATATCCACAGAACCCTGTGCATCTCACCCATGTTGGAGATGGACCAAACTTGGCCAAACGTAGAAAATGTCCCGTTACACGAGTACAGATTTTCAAATGAATCATAAAACTATATACTAAGTATTGTTACAAAATAATAGTTGTGATTACAGGAGGAGGGGGTTGGGGGCCAGAGGAGGGTACCTTGTTGGGCTTGACCGCACGCTGCAAGTTCTCGATCCATTTGTCGCGCTCGGCTGCAGAGCGGCAGGCGAAGCATTTGGTGCCAGAAGACGTGGTGACCTGAATGTGGGAACGGAGAGAAATAAAGGGGAGGTCAGACGCCCTCTGCGCATGCCCAGAGGCTCCCTCTGCAGCACCCTCCCACACTGTGGCAGCTGTGGGCTCACCTCAAAGCAGAACTCCTGCCCGAGGATGCTGCTGTGGACGGGCTTGATGATGGAGTCCTCGTCCAGGTTGAGCTCGAGGGCCTCGGCGGCACTGCTGGGGCTGAGCAGGGACTCGTGCGAGTGGGACTCCTTGAAGCTCTGCATGAGACGGGCCCTGGCAGCAGAGGGAAAGGGACAGGTGAGGAAGAGGAAGAGGAGGAGCAGGAGGAGGAAGGCCGAGGGGTCTGGGTAGGTGGGGGACCACGGAGGGTGCAGGGGGACAGGAGGGGGGTGCTTCCGGCCAGACGCAACGGGAGCGAGTGGCGACTCACACGGCACACAGGGAGCGGGGAGGCAAGGGCGTGAGGGTGCGGAAGGGGTGGCAGCCAGGGGGGCACGGCGTGTGTGGAGGGGGCCGCTCCTAGGAAAGGGGGGGACACAGGTGTGTGAAGGGGGGAGTGGCGTGGGCCAGAAGGCCACCCTCAGGCGGGGTACCTGGCTAGGTCTGCGGCTGCCAGGGGCTCCCGGCCTGGAAAACGGGATCGAGGCAAAGAAGAGAGAGGAAGAAAGAGAGAGAGAGCAGCATCAGAGGGGAGGAGAGCCAAGCCCAGGCGAGACGTGGGCAGCCCCCCACTCTCCTTCCCTCTCTCTAGGGCTCCCGATCTCCTCTGGGAGGGAGGGAGGGGTCAGGGGCACAAATGCTACCTCCACCCTACCTGGCCACCAGGTGTGTGGCTCACCACTCCGCCTCCCTCCCCACCTGCATCCCACCCCACGGATCCCTGCAAAAGGGGGGGTTCAGTGGGCTAATGGGGCTGGCAAGCTGTATGGGGTTTGTGGTGTGTGCAAAGGTCAACGCTGCTGCCCTCAACGCTGCCGCTGGAGATGTGATGTGGAAGTGCTCTCGATGTGGAAGCGCTCTGGCTCCGGCACCCCCCCCCCTCGCATGTGGCATTTCTGCTCGGAGCTGCCGCCCCCAGGAGAGTATTTTTAGCCAAGCGGAGAGTGAGCGAGAGAGAGAGCAAGCGAGCGGCGTAAGCAGAGAGAGAGAGAGAGAGAGAGAGAGACCGTGTGTGTCGTTGGGGCTGCCGTCAGCCATTGAGAGGGGGAGGCCAGGGCTAAAAATACACAGGAGCCCCAGGGCACGCGAGGAGGGCCGAGAGGGGGCGCCCTCAGGTGACCCCCCCCATTTGGGGCGGGAAAGGGCAACTGGGGGGAGGCAGACAGGGCAGAACCAGAGGAAAGAGGAGGAGGGAGGGAGGGAGGGAGGAAAAGAGGGGAACCTCCCCTCTCCCCCATTTCAAAGCCAGTGGGCAATGCCAGCTGGGCACAATCACAATCACCACCACAACACACCTAAGCCATGTAGGGACTCCGGCCAGTGCCCCCCCCTCCCACTCCATCCTGTGACCCCTACGAACTCCCCCTCACCTGTCATGGTCAGCGCTCCGGAACCGGGGAAGCATCTGGCGGAAGCTGCTGGTGCGGTCCAGCTTGGGTTGGCTCTTGGTGCGCTTGATGGAGCTCTTCAGGCGCCGGCTGAGGAATCCCTGTTGCTAGAAAAGGGAGGGCGAGGAGGAGGAGGGAGGGAAGGAAGGAAGGAAGAGGAAGGAAGGTAGGAAGGAAGGAAGGAAGGAGGAAAGGAAGGAAGGAAGGAAGGAGGGAAGGAAGGAAGGAAGGAAGGAAGGAAGGAAGGAAGGAAGGAAGGAAGGAAGGAAAGAAGAAAGGGAAGGAAGAAGGAAGGAGGAAAGGAAGGAAGGAAGGAAGGAAGGAGGAAGGAAGGAAGGAAGGAGACGAAGGAAGGGAAGGAAGGAAGGAAGGAAGGAAGGAAGGAAGGAAGGAAAGAGAAAGGAAGGAAGGAAGGAAGGAAGGAAGGAGGAAAGGAGGAAGGAAGGAAGGAAGGAAGGAGGAAGGAAGGAAGGAAAGAAGGAAGGAAGGAAGGAAGGAGGAAAGAAGGAAGGAAGGAAGGAAGAAGGAAGGAAGGAAGGAGGAAGGAAGGAAGGAAGGAGAGAGGAAGGAAGAAGGAAGGAAGGAAGAAGGAGGAAAGGAAGGAAGGAAGGAAGGAAGGAGGAAGGAAGTGAAGGAAGGAGGAAAGAAGGTGGGAGGAGGGAAGGAAGGAAGGAAGGAAGGAAGGAAGGAAGGAAGGAAGGAAGGGCAAAGAGAGACCAAGTGGGTGATGGAGAAGGGATGTATAGAGAGGCCAAGGCCCTTGAGGGGTGGGAAACTTCATTGCACCTGGGCGCCCCATGTGGAGCGCACCACAGAGGGAAGGATCATGGCCCTCACTCACGTTTGGGTCTCATTATAACTGTCTTCCCTCCCTTCCCCTCCCTTTTTCTCTTCCCTTTCTTCCCCTTCCTTCCTTCCTTCTTCCTTCCTTCTTTCTTCCCTCCTTCTCCTTCCTCCTTTCCTCTTCCCTTCCTTCCCTCCTTCCCTTCCTCTTCCCTCCCTCCTTTTCCCTTCCCTTCCTTCCTCCATCCCTTCCTTCCTTCCTTCTTTTTCCTCCTTCTTCCCTCCCTCCTCCCCTCCCTTCCTTCTCCTTCCTTCCTTCCTTCCTCCTTCCCTTCTCTTCCTTCCTTCTTCCCTCCTCTCTTTTTCCCCTTCCCTTCCTTTTCCCTCCTCTCTCCCTCCCTCCCCTTTTCCTTCCCTCCCTTCCCTCCCTTTCCCTTCCTTCCCTCCCTCCTCCCCTTTTTTCCCTTCCTTCCTCCCTCCTCCCCTTTCCCTTCCTTTTCTCCTCCCTTCCTTCCTTCCCTCCTCCTTTCTTCTCTCCTCCTTCCTTCCTTCCTTCTTCTTTCTTCCTCTCTTCCTCCCTTTTTCCCTTCTCCCTTCCTCCTCCCTTCCATCCTCTCTCCCTCCCACCTTCCACCTGTGAATGCACCCATCTTTCCTTTCCCTTTGGGTTTGTGTGTGCTTTTGAGAGTGTGACTCCAATGCCACTCTGCCTGTCCTCCTCTCCTCATCCATTACATACAATGGTCCATTCCCAGTCTTTCTGGATCCTTTGGTGGCTTGAGTTTGCCTTGACGTTCTCCAGACCCTTGATCATTTTCATGAGTCTCATGAATCACATAAGATTTAGGTTTCTGATATCCTGATCCTGACTTTCAAATACAGAGATCACTGGCAGAGCACCCCTGAAATGTATTGTGTCCCCCACTTTTTGCCAGATCCATATTCCTTCCTTCCTTCCTTCCTTCCTTCCTTCCTTCCTTCCTTCCTCCTCCTCCTCCTCCATTGCAATGGGGTGCCTGGAAACCAGACCGTGCATCTTTCCAGAGCAACACCAACCCCACCTGCCAGGGTCCAAAAGGGGGGGGCGCTTTGGGGGGGTTTCTCTAGGGCCACATCACATCCCCAATAGGCAGTATCCTCCTCCCCCTTGCGGCCCATTCACCTGCCCCACAGGTGGCCCTCCTTGCCTGCTGGGCGTGGACTTTGGTCCACGCTACCCGCTCCTTTCTGACTAATGGAGTGAGAGAGGTCTGGATTCTGGGCTGGCCCTTCCAGGGTTTGAGACATGGACAGGGACAGAGGCTCTGGGTAAGGAACTCCACGCTACAGAATGAATGCAGTTGGAAATGGAATCCTGGGAGTGGTCGTTTGAGGAGGCACCAGAACCCCTCAACACAGAAGGCTAAAGACCCTGCAAAACTACAATTCCCAGGATTGCATAGCAAGCTGCATTCCTTCTACAGCGGAGATGCCCCTCTCCTCCTTTGCCCAAAAGATGAGCCAGAGCTCAGGGGGCAGATTGGGGGAGGGGCAATGCCCCCCCCCCCCCAAGTTTCTTCTCAAAGGAAGCCATGAGTAATTTTAGCAACCCTCCTCTTACGGCAACAAAGTGTTTCCCAAAGCGTGCCATTTCCGCTGCCAATTCACAGCCCAAAGCACATTCTGCACACAATTCTCACGGGGTTGTTATGCGCAAAATAGCCCTTTTGTGCAGAAAATAGCACTTTCTGTGCAGAAATAGTGTTCAACGCCTGGGCATTTCTGCTGAAGTCCAAAAGACCCAGAGGACTAGAGTTTGGGAAACACTGGAGGCCTTTGGGGGGTTCTCCCCATGTGACGGGCCCAGCACACCTCTGATGCTCTCTACTCTCCTACAGACACCAAAGATTATCACACATTACGGACCAAACACACTTTGCCTGCACTCTGCTATAGATAGGAAATATCCTCACATGTGAGGGGCTCCACTGCACTCCCCTCTACTATAGATTCCAAGTCTTCTTCCTACTAGTTGTGGGCCCAGCACGCTTCCACCGCACTCTGCTATAGATACCAAAAATCACAGGTTCAAATCCGGGGAGAGCGCAGATGATCTCCCTCTATCAGCTCCAGCTCTCCATGCGGGGCCATGAGAGAAGCCTCCCACAAGGATGGTAAAACATCAAAACATCCTGGTGTCCCCTGGGCAACGTCCTTGCAGACGGCCAATTCTCTCACACCAGAAGCGACTTGCAGTTTCTCAAGTCGCTCCTGACACGACAAAAAACAAACAAACAAACCAAAAATCGTTGCATGTTATAGGCTCACAATGTGTCCGCTGCGCCCTACTCTGCTAGAGTTGGAAGAGATCTCATGGGCCATCCAGTCCAACCCCTTGACAAGAAGAGACACCAAAAGTTATGGGCCCCTCTTGCTTCCATTACACTCTACTTGCTATAGATACCAAACATTGCTACATGTTACAGCAGAGGTTCTCAACCTGTGGTTCTCTCCCCAGATGTTTTTGGCCTTCAACTCCCAGAAATCCTAACAGCTGGTAAACTGGCTGGGATTTCTGGAAGTTATAGGCCAAAAACATCTGGAGACGGCAGGTTGAGAACCACTGGGTTACAGGCTCAACATGTGTTCACTGTGTCCTACTATACTATACTATTAGGGCTGGGCGGTTTCGTTCGTTAATTTCGTAATTCGTTATCAATTCGTATTTAAATTAGCTTACGATCTGATATTGAGCCATTTTGGAATAGTGTGAGGAGTTAAATAGATTCGAAACAATTTTTCAATATATTTTGTAATTGTTTCGTAATTGTTTCGTAATTGTTTCGAAATTGTTTCGTAATTGTTTTCGCATGCCTGGTGCAAGTTTTATAGTTGTTGTTTGTTTTATCACACCAACAGTCAACAACAGAGGGAGAGGGAAGCTTCAGAAGTTCCCCCGGTCCCATTTGGAGGTTTTTTCAGCATATTTTTAGCATATTTGGAGGTTTTTTTAGCATATTGCGCAATCGCGTCCGCCATTAACGAATCGATTCGAAATTTACGAAATTTCGTATATTTCGAAAATTTTTAAAGGAAAATTTCGGAATTCTTTAAAGAAACGAAACGTGATGGACCCCTTAAAAACGAATCGAGTTTAGAAACAAATTTTTCCGTGGTTACCCAGCCCTATATACTATACTATACTATACTATACTATACTATACTATACTATACTATACTATACCATACCATACCATACCATACCATACTATACGATACGTACCAAATATTACTCCTACAGGTTATGGAACCCCCTCAATACTCTGATTTGGTATAAATTTGGTATCTATAGCATGCTACTCTGCTATAGATACCAAATATTACCACATACTACTACTACTACTACTAATAATAATAATAATAATAATAATAATAATAATAATAGTATTTTATTATTTCTTGCCCGTCTCTCCTCACAGCTTGAGGTGGGTTACAACATTGCTAAAAACATTAACCTAAAAATGTTCTTTTAAAACATATTTCCACAAATACATATTAACATACTCAAACCAGAGATTAAGCATAAGAAGCAAGTTGTCATTAAAACTGTCTGGGTGGGCCTTGCGGAAGAGATAGGTCTCCACTTGTGTCTTAAATTGCAACAGCCCAGCGCACTTCCGTTACTTTCTACTCTGATAGAGATATATCACACGTTACAGGCCCAGCATGCTTCCACGGCACTTTAGTTTGCTATAGATACTACATATTCTTCCTACAGATTGTGAGCCCAGCATGCTTCCACTGCACTTCGTTCTGCTAGAGATACCAAATATTCTTCCTACAGGTTATGGGCCCAGCACACTTCCCCTGCACTCTGCTATAGGTGACAAATATGTCACGTGTTCTTGGTCCAGCACATTTCTACTGCATGCTACTCAGCTAGAGATACCAAATATTCTTCCTACAGGTTATGGGCCCAACATGCTTCCACTGCATTCTACTCTGCAATAGATACCACATATTCTTCCTACAGGTTAAGAGCTCGGCACGCTTCCATGGCACTCTGCTAAAGATACCAAATATTATCATACATTATGAATCCAGCATGCTTCTGCTCTGCTCTGCTCTGCTCTACTATAGATGTCAAATATTCTTCCTACTGGGTTATGGGCCCGGCACGCTTCTGCTCTACCCTGCTAGAGATACCAAATATTAAAACACGTTACAGGCCCAGTACTCTTCTGCTGCACTCTGCTCTGGTATAGAAAGCAAATGTTCTTCCTACCGGTTATGGGCCCGGCATACTTTTGCTGCACTCTATTCTTCTATAGAGGCCAAATATTCTTCCTACCAGTTATGGGCCCGGCATACTTTCACGGCACTATTCTTCTATAGAGGCCAAATATTCTTCCTACTGGTTATGGGCCCGGCATACTTTCACGGCACTATTCTTCTATAGAGGCCAAATATTCTTCCTACCAGTTATGGGCCCGGCATACTTTCACGGCACTCTATTCTTCTATAGAGGCCAAATATTCTTCCTACTGGTTATGGGCCCGGCATACTTTCACGGCACTCTATTCTTCTATAGAGGCCAAATATTCTTCCTATCAGTTATGGGCCCGGCATACTTTTGCTGCACTCTACTCTTCTATAGAGGCCAAATATTCTTCCTACTGGTTATGGGCCCAGCATACTTTCACTGCACTCTACTCTTCTATAGAGGCCAAATATTCTTCCTACTGGTTATGGGCCCAGCATACTTTCGCTGCACTCTACCCTGGTATAGAAAGCAAATATTCTTCCTACTGGTTATGGGCCCAGCATACTTCCACTGCACTCTGCTATAGACATTATGTTACATGTTATTGGCCAAGCATATTTCCACTACAAGCTACTCTGCTAGAGATACCAAATATTCTTTCTATAGATTATAAGCCCAGAACACTTCCCCTGCAATCTACGATAGATACGGAATATTCTTCCTACAGATTCTGGGCCCAGATGCTTCCACTGCACTCTACTCTGCTGTAGATACCAAATATCCTTCGTACAGGTTATGGGCCCAGCATGCTTCCATGGCACTCTATTCTGCTATAGATACCAAATATTATCATACGTTATGAATCCAGCATGCTTCTGCTGTGCTCTGTTCTACTATACATATCAACTATTCTTTCTACTGGGTTATGGGCCCAGCATGCTTCTGCTGCACTCTATTCTGCTAGAGATACCAAATATTGCTGTACCCCTCCACATTTCCCACCCACAACCCCCAACTGGGACTTCATTGCTCTTCTGTTGGTGATGGGTCCCTTCATTTCAGGCGTGTGGGGGAGATGGAGGACTGTACACACATGCATTCACTCACCGAGCCCCGGAAGGGCGGCGCAGGCGGGGCGTCCATGTTGATGCTGTACTGCTTCCCTCCAGGAACGCTCTTCCGCCGGTTGCGGGCGGCGTGGTATTCTGATTATCGAGAGAGAGGAAGAGAGAAGACCACGGGGTCATAGAGTCATCCAGTCCACCCCCTTCTGTCATGCAGGAAGACACAATTAGAGCCATCTCGACAGATGGTCATCCAAGCCTCTGTTCAAAAACCTCTAGAGAAGGAAGGAGTTGCCACCTGACTCCCAGGCAGAGATTTCCACTGTGGAACATCTCTTCCTTCCTGATGCTTGGGTGGAATCCCCTTTCCTGAAAATTTGACCCCACTGCTCCATTGAGTCTTTGTCCCCAAGGCAGAAGGAAACAGATCTGCTCCCTCTTCCTTTGGACCTCCGTTCAGATAGTGAAAAATGGCTCTCGTGTCTCCTCTCAACTGTCTATTCTACACTCCCTAAGCAGCTCCTTCGAGGGAGTTGTGGCTTCCGGGCCTTTGCTCATGTTGATGGCCCTTCTCTGGACACCTTCCAGCTTGCCAATATCTCACTTGAATTGTGGTGCCCTGGCCTAAGCAGGACATGTCTTCCCTGGGTCTAGGCACTAGACTCCTCTTGATGCAGCCCCAAATCCCATTGGCTTTGACAGTAGCTGCATCACATTGTTGTCTAAACAGTCCAAGGTCAATCTGTAAAGTCCATTCAGAGTTGAGACAAAGAAGAACGATAGTAGGTCAAATCCAGAAAGGCACAACCAGGCACTGGAAGTCAGGCCCAAAGGAAGAGCCATGTAACCATAGCTCCTGGTTCAGCTGCTCCTTGATGAAAGAGGGTTCCTCACCAAGACCTCCTAAGTGCCACTTTTTGGTGGCATCTCTCAATCAGTGCATGCCTTCCTGCGTTCAGGTTTGTCCCCTGGATCCTGCAAAGCCCCCATGGATTGAGTGTCCCTCGCTGCCTGAGCAGGGCATGCAGCCCCAAACGCCTGCGCTCATTGTCATGGAGGGCCACATCACCCTCATGGCTGCCTTTGAAGGGACACTCAATCCAGGGATGGAGAACCTGTGAGACAAGAGAGAGGGATGACTGCCATTCTTTCTGCACAGCACCCTATTGAGGTTTTACCCATTTGGAGTCCCCAGGTCACAGAAGCATAGAATCATAGAGTTGGGAGAGACCTTGTGGGCCATCCGGTCCAACCCCATTCAAAGAACCCCTGACTGATGGCCATCTGGCCTTAGCTTAAAAGCCCCCAAAGAAGGAGCCTCCACCACCATACTCCCTCCGGGGCATGCTGAATCACAGCTCTCTCTCTTTCTCTCATTATCATTCTCTCTCTTTCTCTCAGTCAGTCAGGAAGTTCTTCCTCACGTTCAGGTGGAATCTCCTTCCCTTCATGTAGTTTGAAGCCATGGCTCCATTGTGTCCTAGTCTCTCTCCAAGGCAGAAGAAAGGAAGCCTTCTCCCTTCTCCCTAGGACTTCCCTGGTCTCACCGCTTGATACCTGGCCTTCACCCTGTCTCCTCTCCACCTTCTCTTCTGCAGCAGCTCATTCAGCCGCTCTGTCCTCACAGGGCTTGCTCTCCAGACCCCTGCATACCCCCCCCCCATGGGTCCTTTGAGTCCCCCTCTTCCTCTGGACACATTCCAGCTTAGAGTCAACATCTCCATGGAATGTGTCCTGAAGAAGAGGGGGACTAAAAAGATGGTATAGAGCAACAATAGGTGTTATGGAACAACAATTCCCATCACTTTGCATTAACCACCATGCAATCTGGGAATGATGGGAATTGTAGCCCCACAGACCTTCTAGCTCTGAGGTCGGGGAAAGGTGAAAGGGCATTTTAAGACCAAACATCTTATCCTCAAGCCTTGTCTTTGCATATGGTTTGCTCATTGGACAGAGGTAGCTAGGAAGGGGCTCCAGAGGGTCACCTATCACTCCTGCCCTGAGAATTATGGGTCGCCCTCTTTCTCCCCTCTTTGGAAGAACCCTATGATTCCCGCTGCCTTCAGAAAGCTCACCATATTCTTAAGGATCCATCTCTAAACAGTTCCGGCCCAGCTTATCTATCCGGACGCATCTCTTCCTATGAACCCTCCAGGAACTTGAGATCGTCCGAGAAGGCTCTGCTCTCGATTCCGCCTGCTTCGCAAGCACGTCTGGCAGGGACGAGAGACAGAGCCTTCTCTGTGGTGGCCCCCCAGCTGTGGAACTCCCTGCCTAGGGACATTAGATCAGCCCCCTCCCTCCTGACCTTTTGGAAAAGAGTAAAAACTTGGCCCTTTGAGCAAGCATTTGGAACCTCCGAATAAATAGACAAACTTGAATTGGAAAATGACCCAGGAACGGCCCAAGAAGATGGAACGGATAAGGACTTGAAGGAGAGGATAGAGGTTTTAGTTTTTAATATTGTTATGATGAACTGTCTTATGTCTAATTGCACTATAAAGGTTCTTTTTGTTTATCAATGTATGTATTTTTATGGCATCGAATTGTGCCGATCGTGTACGCCGCTCTGAGTCACCTTCGGCCTGATACGAGTGGGGTAGCAATAATGCAAATAAATAAATAAATAAGTAAATAATCTCACCCTGGGTATTCTTCTATTTTGGAATTATTACTACTTACAGATGGAATAGGATGACAAAAGCAACAGGCTGAGAGAGAGCTTTGTCCTACAGCTGAGACTCCATTGAACTAACTCTAGGATAGCACACGGATGTGGCACGAGAGGCTGTGTATTAATGATTCGAATGTGGAAGGGTGGCCAAAGGCCTGGGAACGAGGAGTCAATACTGGGAGGCATGTTTTGTTCATGTTCACGGTTGCCTCCTTTCTGTTGAAATGGTCCACCTGCTTCTTGTGGATTTCAGTAGCTTCTCGGTGTCCTCTGACATGGTGGTTGTGAGGGTGGCCCACCATTTCTGTGTTCTCCAATAATATTCTGTGCCCAGCTTGGTTTATCAGGTTCTCTGCTATTGCTGATTTTTCAACAGAAAGGAGGAAACCATGAAAATGAACAAAACTTGACCACCAACATTGAAAAACATCGGAATCAAGACAATAACTAATGATCACCACCCAGACACAGGAAGTCTCCAGACAGCAAGCAATCAAGGGCCAGTGAACAAAGGATGCCTCCGGGCAAGGAAAACACTCCAAGGGAACAAAGGCCTGGCTACTTCCAGGCATGTGTCCTCACGGTTGAGCATGCAATCTTCTCAGTTCCTCACATGCTAATGCATGGATCCCACGCAAACACTAGCACTCCAGGCTTACTCATGGCACCTTTCACACTTGGTTAATAGGCAGAGGTTCTTTCTTCCACCCTGGATATTCCACAGGTATGTGTGTATACACACACACACCACTTGCTTGACTACCATCAGATCCTCTGAAGATGCCAGGAGAATCATAGAATCCTAGAGTTGGAAGAGACCTCAWGGGTCATCCAGTCCAACCCCTTTCTGCCAAGAAGCAGGAATATTGCATTCAAAGCACCCCTGACAGATGGCCATGCACACACACACACACACCACTTGCTTGACTACCATCAGATCCTCTGAAGATGCCAGTAGAATCCTAGAATCATAGAATCAAAGAGTTGGAAGAGACTTCATGGACCATCCAGTCCAACCCCATTCTGCCAAGAAGCAGGAATATTGCATTCAAATCACCCCAGACAGATGGCCATCCAGCCTCTGATTAAAAGCCTCCAAAGAAGGAGCATCCACCATACTCCAGGGCAGAGAGTTCCACAGATCAGGCAAAACTTCAGGAGAAAATGCTGCCAGAACACATTGACCATCCAAACCTGAAACCACACAACACCCCAGTGATTCTGGCCGTGAAAACCTTCGACAATTTCCCCCACCCTGAGGTTCAAATGGGGGGGGGGGCGACTGGGGTGACTTGCCCCCACCTGGACCCCTTTGCTCCTATGCCTCTTCTCCCTGCCCTTGCAGACCCCCCCCCCAAAAAAAAGAAAGAGGGCTCTGGAGCTGCCAAAGGAGCTGCAAAACTACAACTCCCAGAATTTCAAAGCCCTGAGCCATAGCAGAGACTGGAGTCAAGGAGCATCCGTTCCACTGTGGGGATGCCCCCCTTCCTTAATGCAGGGAGCCTGGAGCTCATTACACTCTGCAACCTGAGTTACCCTAATTGGTTCTATCATGAAGAAACATGGAAAAAGTTTATTTAATTGCACAAACTTGGTCTTTGAGGGAGGAACCCCGTCCTGCAGCACATTTTCCATGAATATATTATCACTGAGTCTCCACACCAATTCAACCTGGTGTTGAGCCGCCAACACAAAGTTTCCAAAGTATAACAACTACTTTCAAAGAAAGAACAACACAAACAAACAGGAAACAACACTTTCAAAGCAGGAAAAGGTATTTCTTTGTATTTTTGTATTATAGCAATTCTCTGCGCAAAGCAAAAATCGTATCCATTGAAGCAAGGGTGTCACTCTCTCATTTGTGGAGAAGGGATGCAATGCCAGGAATTCGGGGTAATGTCATGGGGGGGAGAGGCCTTGAATCCCCCTCCCCATATCTATGTCCCTGCCCACCTTGGAAGGGGAGCCCCTTTGCTCTAGGAGAGAATCACTGGGTCCTGGAGCTGGAGGGATCTCCAAAGGCCATCCAGTGCAACCTCCCTTCTGCCAGGCAGGAGGGCACCATCCAAGCCCTCCTAACAGATGGCAAGGTGTCAATTTGTGTTCCCAAAACAACCACAGTCTGCCTAGATCAGAGTTTGGGGCCCCTAGAGAACATCAAACTGTGCCACGGATAATGCAACCAAGCAGAGCCTCAGGTTCCGAAGTTCTGTTAGAAGTTGTGCTCCCTGTGAAGATGGGTGACACCTGGCTTGAACACATGTGGAAGGGAACAAGGAGTCTTAATGGGCCACAAACATGAGCCAGATGTGTGAGGCGGCAGTGAAAAAGGCCAATGCAATCCTAGGCTGCATCAAGAGGAGCCCAATGTCTGGATAAAGGGGTGTCCTCTTCTGCTGTGGCCAAGGCTCCTCACCTCACTGGGTCCAGTTCTGGGCAAAGCAGTTATGGATATGGGCAAGAT